AGCCCCTGCTTTTATCAGGTATTGAAGATGGTTAGCTCTTCAAGAAACGGAAGAATGGAGCAGCTCTAAGAGCAAGGTAGGATTCTACAGCAACTGGCAAAAGCTGCACTGCTTTAACTGTTCTGATACACCATGAAGGCATGGTCCACCTGTACCACAGTTATAAAACTCACAGCAGATATAGCTGCAGCAGTTTCAAACGTACTGCCCCCAGGTGCTTGCTGTCTCCTGAGAGTTTACTGCTCCTGCAGCTGGACCAGCTGAATGGATTGTGTCAATGCATCTCACTTACTTTGGGGCAGCTGGTTTGAACTTGGCAATTTGAGCCAAGTAGCACTACAGCAGATGGGAAGTCCTTATATAATCCTTTTTTCCAATGGAGCAGTTAGGGCTCGAGCACCTTAACATGCCATAACCTCTTTTTGTGATAATTCCCTGACCCAGATGCAGTTTACAGCACTACAGCCTGCTGCTGCTCAACAGTGCTCCTCTGCATGGGGCGGCCTTCCCCTTAGCAATGTCAGCTCCTCAGCTCACACTTCAGGCAAACCATTACCCAGACTAGCTCAATCCATTTGCTGAAACTATTTAAACATCATCTCTGGTCTTCTCTAGAGAAAGTCAGATTCCTCAACACATCGTTGGGGTGGGAAACGGGGATGCTGGGGGGAAAGGAAGGCAGTAACATTTCCAGCCAGCATAGCTGTTTGCAAAACGAGCATTCGTCCATGACCTCAGTGCTCGAGACACCGCTCTGGCTTCCACGCGGGTACACTAGTAACTATCCTGCTCTAGTGCCAGCCTGAGGTTGACCAGTCTCTGCTGCCCATCATTAACCCTCACCAAAAGCCGCCATCTCCCTGACCTAACAGCAAAGCAGTCAACCTGGGTAATCGCTAGCCTGCTTCAGGCAGGGGGCAGATGAATTGTCCTGAGCAGTTAAAACTCCTGGGCTTGGCTGATGATCATCTCAAAGCAGCAGGGACTGACAACCCTTCCATTAGCACAGCTGGACCTCAAAAGAGGTCCTCTGTCCTCTAATTGCATACCTAGCCAAAGCATGCATATGGACTGGTCTTACTGTATTACAAAAACATGTTTAGTTTACAATTCTGGTTTGGAGCAAGCTGCTTCCTTTAATGCAAAGGAATTCAAAGGACTGCTCTAAATCTATTCCTAAAGTAACTTTTGGAAGCAATTTTTCCAGCAACATTTCCCCACCACCAATGACTTTCAATTTACCTCTACGCTACTGTGAATGATTTTTATCATTCGCTTTCAGAGGAATTAGTAACTATTGATGACATTAGTGAACTTCAAAACTTTTACAGTGTAGCCTCTCAGCACAGCTATCCGGCAGGAACTTCCAGAGGCCTTCTCCAAGGCCTACATTGCAAAAGAAACACACATCTCCTGGCTAGTGAGCAACTAGATGATTGAAGGGACACACACCCATATTGCTCTCAACTGTAGCAAGCTCAGGCTTCAACATCACTTGGCTGCCAGCGCAATTTGTTTGGAATAGCCTTATCTTCCCATTCCCTAACCTCTTTTGCAATTATTACTGAACTGGGAAGCAAAGACCCACTTTCATAATCCCATTTCCCTGCCTAGGGAAACTACTGAGCCAGTCAAAATGCGTTTTAGGAAACAGTAAGAGAAATTAGCTCTCTCTAACTAAAAGACATCTAGGGAAATGCTAGGATCTGCATCATGAGAACGCTCCTGTTGCACGCGGATCTAAGACAGGCTAAGGCAATGTTGCGATAGGGGGAAGAAAAAACAACCAAAGAACAAACAGACAAGGCTTTGGGCACACTAGCTCTTCCTTTAGCTCTGAAATAGAAGCAGCAAAATTAAAAGCTAAAAACAAGTTTACAAGTTTTGCTGAGCTTAAACAATTGTCCTCAATTTTACATTTAATTTTGAAGTTTCCTGCTTCAATTTCAGAGCTAAAGGAAGAGTTTGTGTGCCCCAAAGATTCTCTATTCTCCTCCCCACCGCACAGACACTTAAGTAGTTAGCAGAAATAAGAAATCTTACCTCTAACTACAACTCATCTTGCTTGTGGGCGGTGCACTACCCTTGTACTCTTGCTCAACTGCTTTTCTAAAGAAGTGAGCAGGAAGAAGTCCCAGACAAAAAATTTCTCAATATGTGTTTATGCTATTTATTCAAAGACGTTCTCCATTAAACATTCATCTTAATGAGGTAACACCCAAAATTTAAAAAAATAGCTAACAGAACTGCTTTTTATAAAGGTTAATTTTTTTGCTTTCTACAGTAAAGGTATCTTATTGGTTAGATGTATAGGTGTCTTACTACACAGACTGAAGAGTCCTTTTACTGCGATCTTCTGCTGAAAAGCTATGCAACTTCCTGCAGATGTAGCAAACAGAACTTTCTGCAAAATTTTACCATAGGAACTCGCGAGGAACAGTTGTATTCTTCGATACAACAGGAAATTTCATGCTATTTTAGGTTAACTCTTCTTACCTACTCAGAATCTTTTTCTACAAAATATAAGAAAAATCATAGTGCAGAATTTCTTTCATTTCATATGATTTTGAGAGTAATTTAAGACAAACCCAGGAAATCCCACTTACTGTAAAATGGCTTTTCCTAATTTGACTTGCATCACTCCCACAGCAATACATACCAAAAACAAATATCCTTAGTGCACATTAAGGTGATCCACATAGTAAATAGAGCGCACTATGCTCCCAAAAATCTCCAGACTGAGCCTCAGAGCTGTAGTAACATTTAAAGCCTTATCTACACAAGTTAGTTAGGCATTAATTTTGTACAAAACTGCTTTGGTACAATTCTTAATGTTTCGTTCTACATATTGGTAGGAAAGCTGCCTTTATAACAGCAGGCCCTTCTCCTGTAAGGGAATAGTTGATTTAATTCCAGACCAGGGTGTGTGAATGTTGTTGTATTGCTCAAATCTTAATTTTAGGAAGATTCTCATACCCTTGAGCTTACTAGACTTGGGTTTGCAAAATATTTCCCTCTAGTACTGTCCTAAGGCAGCTTATGAACTTCCTTTTGCTTCACAGTTGCTTAGAGGTGACCTTAAGTTGCATTTGACATTTCCTGTTTACATAAGGACAGTCTCAAAAGGTTTCTTTTTGCTTCTTTTTAAATCCTAGAAGCTACAGAAGTCAGCAGTTCAGCCCTCCAAAGCTCCTATAGCAAACCTCTGCCCAAGATCTTTCAAGTACATCCCTAGCTTTCACAATTTATACAAAGTTTAAGGGTACCATTTTCATCCTATCCTATTTGCATAGCAGTGGAAATTTAAGTTATGGCTACACATTCCTTCCTCTAAATTTAGTTGAAGAATTATTACAATAATTGTTGAGGTCAGGAAAAATGGAGGAGATGTATTCTTT